AACACTCAGCAATACACTCACCAACTTCTACCTCATGCTAAAATGGCATAAAATGTGCATTAAAGTTAAGAAAATAAGCATTTACTTATCAAGGGTATGTTTCTGCAATTAACCCCAGAATGAGGCAAAATTACAGTAAACCAAAAATGTATTAAAACAACGAAACGCTAAACTGTGTGTTGAATACATATAGTCTGCTCCACTGACAAATGACAGCGAAGTAACTGTCAAACAATCAGCGCGTCACGCAAGTTCAGCGGTAAATGAATCCCCCCAAAAAACAAAACCTAAATGTCTGAGGCAGATTTTCAGACAACTTGTGGATGATTTGCAGTAAAGCCCAGCTAGCTGACTTAGTAGTACTAAACTTCTAGTAACCTTCCAGTGAACAAGCTTGCCATTAGCAGAAAACATACATGTTTATTTTACAATAAACAGCAGTTGTAGTTAACTTTTGGCAATGTTGCTGAAAATTTCCCACAAGATCTTGCAACATATTTTCAAACACAAATGAGGTCTGTGGCATACTTACGATGCACTTCTGGTTAACTTTGCTGTAAATGTACGGCAGGTTTTCTGGAAGGTTTACTGTTTGCAAGAAGTTTGCTGCAAATTCCTTTTTTTTTTTGTAGTTTTTTTTTTTTTTATAGTGTCTCAAGACCGACTGTCTCGGTACTTTAACAGTACAACAAGAAGGCTTTGGGTTTGGATCTGCTGGTTGGCTGATCTCTCTGTCCAAAGACATCCATAGTAGCTTAAATAATTATGCAAATGATGAGAGGTATGAATATGTGCATGAATGGTCACCACATGTAAGCCACTAAACTACTTTGTACAGAAAAATATGACCTATGTTTCAAGTTAAAGTTAACCACAACTGTTTTCCAGAAACCTAAACTTTTTCTGTGTTAATCGAGCCCCTTCTCTTTGGGGCCTAATACCTATTTAATGAAGGAATTATTTTTAAAAGCACCACCAGTACACTGATTAGGAGTTAATTTAGCCAATGAAGTCATATTAACTTGTGGGGAAAACGCATAATTTAGTATTTCATGAGAGAATTTGACACTTTCTGAATGGGAGCCTATGGAGCCAGAGATTATTTGAAGCCCGTAGTGGTTTTGCACTTAAAGGCACTTCTGCACTGGCTTCACTTTTCAGAGAGGTGGTGGCTGCTTCCATATTTTACAAACTCTATGAATAGAAATTAAACTAACATCTACCAAAAGGAACACACACCCTGTTGGGTGTAGACTTGTCATTAATTGAGACGAAAAAAACAGTGAGTCATTCCTGGGATGGTCGTAACAGGACGTGCTAGCAGTTACATGACGCAGGGGTTTGACCTGAATGCTAACATCATTAATTTATATGTTGTAGGAATCATGAATGTCTGACTCTGAGATGTTTAACTGGACAAATGGCTCCTAGAGGTTCATCCACTGAGACTTTGACTCTCTGCACCACTTTTCAGGACAATTCAAGCTTGCTAAATTACAAAAGCGCCAACTTTAGGTTGAGTGAGAGAAAAAAGTCAGGAAATTACCAAAATGTTCGGCTTCACCCTCCAGGGAGGAGACCATTAATGTATTGTACTGTTGTTGAGGCATTTAATTCTGGAACAATATGGGCGACCGACCCGACCATTCTCAGAGCTGGATAACATTCCTAAAAATAAACCAGAAACCTACCACAGAGCACACACACACACTCTGCAGGGTGTAGTCTAGTTCCCAATTAAGACAGTGGAAACGGTAATTTCGTAGTAGTCATAACACAAGACAGCTGGTACACGCTAACATCACCCCCGGTGTGGTCACATAAACAAAACACATTTCGCAGCTTATTAAACTAATCAGCTCTAATCTCCTTCTGGGCACCGGGCCTGATCCGCAGCAAAATCAATCAGCTTAGGACACCATGAGAACGCAGCGGTCCAAAAACCAGCACATTCAGAACCTTCGAGTGACACGGTCCAACCTGGTGGAGTGGAAACAAAGCGCTCTGTAAGGGTAACGCAGGACAGTGAAGGCAAATTATATGGCTTCTAAGCATTTGCACATGTGAATGTATTTTGCCACTCTGGCATAGTTTCTGCATGGAGTCTATATTATTCCAGAGGGCCGTTGGGGAGCGGGGTTAAAGCCTGGAATGTGCACTATTTCCCCACAGGAAGCCGCGTATGGAAGTCTACCGTTGCCCCACGCCCAAATCTCACCATCACACGCACAGTCGAGCGGCTACTGAATTATACAACAAAAATCCTCATTCTGTGTCTTTGTTCAGCACACGCGATAAAATAAACATCACAACACGCCGGCTTGATCTTTTGTGTTTTATTAAAGACATTTTATCTTCGATACAGTTTCATCGTACAAAATTTCACACGACATTACAAAAATACTGAAAGGGATTTTATTTTTTATTTTTATATAATAAAAATGTACTGAAGCAGTCCGCTTTGAGAGCTTTGTTGTTTTCAAAGAATATTCACACTTTACTGGATGACATTTGCCAAGCTTTGATTTTTTTTTCCAAGCAGCACGTTTTACATTTACACAGGTCTCGACACGTAGTGGGTGTTTCTTCCAAACACACACACACACACACACACACACACATATATATATATGTATATGTACACACATGATACAGCACTGTACAATGTATGGTTAGCATGTAGAATGTTTTGATGCTAAATATAGTCGATTTACAGGTTACGTATTAAGAAAAACTACAAGTGTCAAGCTTGACTCAGTGAGTTAAAACTGAGCGTTTTTGGTCAGTGGTTTTTATTATTATAATAATTATTTTTTTGCTAAAAAGTGAATTAAAATACATTTTAAGTCGTCTGTCTATTATCATGCAGAGCCTCATTTCCAGCTCTATTGTATGAGTTACTGAGCATTTACAATGTGCCAGAACAGTTTTAAAACTCTGCTTTGGTATCGATGTCCTACTGCGTTGCGCCTGCATAACATCCAGTATATCACAGGATTTCTCAGCGACGTGAACCGTCGCTATGGTTAGTAACAGTAAAGCACAAAGTACTGATGCTTCCACCCCCCACAACCCCCCACAGTGCTCCCGTCTTGGGTTACATGAGTCTGTTGTAGCAGGTGTCTGCTCTCTGGCCGGAGAGAGGCACACTTGTAGGCTATAAACACTGAAATATATAGACTTGACATTAAGACAAACTCGCAGGGACACACCCAACACACACACACTCTCTCTCTCTCACACACACATTCTAACACTCGTGAGCACCCGTCTGGTACATATAACAAGACAGTCATTTCATTAAATGGCTCAGTGGGGGCTCGTCCTAGCCAGCAGAAAGAGGCCCACATCCAAAACCTCACTGCACTGCAACTTCTCAGGAACGACGCTACGCACACAACACAAAGCTATCCGAAAGCTTCACTTCGGGTCATTCAAGTGGTGACGAACAGTACTGAGTTTAGCTAAAATAGTGCTAGAAAAAAAAAAAATCACACATACAACGTTTGTAATAAACTAAAAACGACATCCTTCCTGAAATCGAGGAATTTGTTTTCTTGTCGTGATTTGTTAGTCGGTTGGCAGGAATACGAGCGCAGCCACACACAGCTTTGTTTACAGCTGCCGTCTCTGAGTTGATTTCTGATGTTTGTCCACGGAAAGGCCTCGACGACGGAGGAGAATAATCTTCAGAACAGGAGCATTAAAAACGGACGCTTGTCTCTCTTTTCCACATTAAAGCGTCTGGTGAGACCCGAGGAAAAAGATGAAGTTTTCCACTGAGAAAGCGCGACTCTCTTGACCGTTTTTCCGCAGTCTCTCCTCGTCCTCCGAGATGTTCAAGATTCCATGTTTGTCTGCATTTTCCAGGTCGTTGGAGTTTATTTCATCCAGTATTGACTAGTGGCTGTAGTAGTGATTTTAAAAAAAGGCACAGGTCAGGGTTATGTACAGTCAGCTTGCAGCCTTCTCTACGCCATGATGAGGTGGTTGCTTCTTTCTCTGATGTCTGCTGCAGGAACGAGGTCTTTCTTCACTGGGGTCGGAGACAGAGCAGAACGTCTTCCTTTGGGCTTGAACAAGTCGGACACAAAGAATACCTGTGAGGGGGAAAAAGAGGAAACTCAGTGAGTGTTTGAACAGTGGAGGTGGCACATTACAGGGTCCTCGCCAGGATTTTTTGACAGCGTAGTGGGGGGAAGATAAAGGAAGTTGTCGGCCAGGGGGGTGGGAGAGAGGGCTCATAGCTAATCCTGCTAACGGTTAGCGACAAAGACGTTAGCTTCTTTGCTGGTAGCGAATACGGTAGAAAACGACGGTAGAGAAACTGCATCAGCGCTTTTTTTCTTTTGCTGCTACATATCCTCAAAAACAACTTAACGGTCCAATTTACGGCGTATTTTTTTCAGGCAGCAGCGTAACGGGCTGTTACTCTGTTATAATGCTGGTGAGAACCCTGCATTAAAAATTAGAATGAATGGTGTAAAAGACATTTGCCTTGAAGGAGATGCATTTTTACAAATGAAACAAAAATATGAAGGCTAAGAAACGATGTAGGATCAGTGGAAACAAACTGGTGCATTTTAAAATGGATTTTTGGTTAAGAGTCTTCTCCCTAACAATTCTGCTGGAAATTTTATTTTGTGTCCTTTAGACTTAGAATGTGGTGTTCCTCAAGGCTCTGTACTAGGTCCCTTTTTGTTTTCCATGTATAATATACAATAACATTTTTAAATGCAGCATCTCCTTTATTGTTCATTTTGTTAAAACAGACAGCCAAAACGAGTTTGTAAACAGCAGATTGCATATCTCAACGCATCAACCAACATATTTCTCAATAGTTCTTGTGCTGGGATCACCAGTCGATAGAGTCCTTTGCTCAGAAATCCTATGAATAGAGGCAGATGTTTGCTGGTCTGCTCTGAGATTGTTGTTATCATTTCAGCACAAAACAACAACGTCAAAACGATTTATTAAGCCGCACAAAGTAGCTACTTATGTGAATTCAGAATTCATTTAAGCTAATAAGGTTAGCAGATAGAGTGCACTCAGCGCACAGTGGCCGGTTTTGGTTAATCAAGAGATAATGTGCAGAAAATTGACTGAACTAATTCATTAGCTTAAGGAGGAAGTGCGATTTCAATCAAGATTTTGTTTGGCCCTGCAGCAGATAACTAGAACCAACTCACCTCCAACCCTGCCTCTCTCTGCATTATTTGTATTTTGAAATGAGTATTTATGATAGAATTTAGAGGTAATAAATCTTGTTTTTTTTATAATTTCTGACTAACATACAAGCTTATAACACTGCAGCCACTCACTATGCAGTAGGCCACCAGGGCTCCTTGTACAAAACCAGCCAGGACATCAGTGGGGTGGTGCTTATGGTCGGAAACCCGGGACAGGCCGGTGTAGAAAGACATCATGATGAGGGTGAACTGGGTCAAAGGGCGCAGCAGGCGAGCTCCATGCCAAGTAAAACGAGACTGCAGGTAAAACTGGAGGAGAGACAGAAACATGGGGTTATATCCCAAGTATTCAGGAAAAGTGAATAAATAAGCGGAGATGAATGAAACGATTCAGCAACTCACCACCAGATACAGCATGGTGTACATGGAGAACGATGCATGTCCAGAGAAGAAAGACTTCCTGCGGAGAACAGACAACAGTCAGTCGTCTCCTAACTTATAAACAAACAGCGATTTCTACTCAATAAATACAAACTCAAAGTTCATCTCATGTATCTGTAATACTTTCAGCTATGTGGCATCCCAGTACCTGGCCTCCTGTACTTTGCTCTCCGGCCCCTGACACTGGTAGTCGGTGATGTAGCCCAGAGAGCAGTTGATGGTGGAGAAGTCGGGTTTGCACACGTCGAGGAAGTGAGGGCGCATTCGGCCCACCGACACTTTAGCGATGTCGGTGAAGGACTGGCTGATCGCACAGCCGAAGATGAACACGCCGACCTGCTTGTAGAGGGCGGAGATGTAGGGGTTCCCCACGAAAGACTTGGATCCCTCGTTCAGAAAGTAGATCCTGTAGCTCTCCCCGATTATGATCTTGGGTGACAGAAGGGGAAAGTGACGTCAGTGACAGGACTTGTAACGCAGATCCAGCAATAACATTAATTTCCCGTGTCCCAATAGTGAGAATGTGTGACTGCAAGAGAGCCAAAACGTTTTATGAGGAATGAGGATTTGAAATTATGTTAGTTGGACAGAGATTTTTCTCAAAGTGCAATACTCATAATTCATATGTAATCTAATATCCGACTATTCATTAACTGAATTAAATAATTACATTGTCTTCCAATCTCTTTGTTTTCTTGATTTAAGGCTTCCCCTGTCATCCACTTTTTTTCTCTTAACATTATAACAAGTGAATGCAGACGTTGCTTGAGGAAATTCCTTTAAGCAAAGTCTGTCGCGTTGCCAGAAACGTATAAAAGGCCTTGAAATGTTCAGGAACGAGCCCCGGAGCTGTTGCTAACTTCACAAGGGAACAATGAACTTCTTGAAAAACAACGTTTTTTTTTTTGTTTTTTTTTGTGAGGAGAAAAATCTGTGACAGTCGTGACTAAAATAACAGTTTCTAAACATCAAGAGGTTATTATGACAGCCGAAACAGAACGCAGAGTGGTTTGAAAAGGCCTCGCTGAACGTGTTTACCTGCGCCATTCTACTTCTGAGAGAAAACAGTGAGACGACGTGGGAGGCAACTCAAACCGTCCGACATGTATAGTTTTCTACGAGCGTGTAAATAAACCACCATGTAAAGCTAACGATTGACGGGTTGGGTGAACTTAGGGAGGTGGGGGAGGAGGTGGGGAGGTGGATCGCCATAACTCAAAACAGCTGTTCGAGCTCAAAAATGCCGCCCCCAATCCCCCCTTTCCATCCCCTGTTGTCTTCCAGCAGCTCACAAAAGAACCCGTGGAAGACAAGAGGGAGAGAAAATGTTTAAGGAGAAAGTGGAAGGATGCAAGAGAGAGTAAGAGGAGAGGAGGAGAGAAAGAGAATTCAAAATAAGACAGGAGGACAAGATGAGGAGTGTAAAGCTGAGCAGAGTGGGAGGGAGAGTCGTGGAGGAGTGGGGGAGGCACCGCTGGTTCTAATCAGCAGAAACGCTGAGCTAAGCGACATGTCTGATTTTTTCGCGGCCAGACTCCACCGGGCGCACGTCGGGGGCACGTTTGTTTTTCCCCGCGCCGGCTCGCTCGGCGAAAGGGGCTCCGATTTCACGAGGGATGTCTGGCTGTTTTCATGTTAGTATCTCAGTTTCATCAGACATTCTTTCGAGGGGCGCAGAGTTAAGTCTCATTCTGGGAAACACTCTCTTGCAGAGGGGATAGCCCTTAAGAAGATTTAACAGGCTGATAGAGTGCGTTGGTTTCCACCATTCAGGCCTTTAGAGCCGGCTTGATACAGGCCAGCTGCTTCCATGGGAAAGAAGGGGAAAGGGGGGAGAAAACACATCTGGTTCCCCTTCTGCAAAACTACGTGCATGAATAAATGAACTGGCATTGTAGTCGATGGAGCTGTAAGGCTGAAACCTCAGAGATAATCACGGGGGCGAGATGCTGATTTGTGGCTTGTATTTCAGATGCGACACCATCGTGTTTTGCTTTCTTCTATTAAGCATCAGCATAAATGATACCATTGTGTTTCTCTTTTTAGTGGGAAACTGAGCCCTAAATGACCTAATATTTGTGTTTTCTGGTTCACAAAACACTAAGGTTGGCCAGAACACCGTAGGGGGGAGAGAGATGGATCTGAAAGCTGTGTTGTGCCAGGAGAAAATGAGATATCTGGCAAAGTTGTCTTGTTTGGGGCCTTCACCACAATTCCACCCCACCAATTACAGTATTTAACCAAACAACCATTGCGTCAACCACAATTACACAGTCAGGACTCCTTCTCACCATGAAAAAGCCCTTTGGCCCCAAGTGGCAGTCTGCACTGGTGGCTGACGAAGCCTCGTGCCGAGGCAGCGCCAAGCTACCAGGTGATGAATGCACATGCTCCAGTGGTGCTGAGCAACACCGAAAAGTCATCGAGAAGCGTTGTGATGGTGTTTTAAGTGCGCCTGTCGCCTGCCGCCTGTTCCAGGAGTCTGTTTGTGTTATGTCGGTGCATACAAATTGCCCATCTACGCCAGCTAATGTGTTGCTATTAAAGTACTAAAGCGCTGAGCAAGCAGTACGTAGCCGGTTGCTAAGCCGTTGCTAGGGAGTTAGCAGTGGGTCTCGGTGCATTTACAAGTGGTTTGTATATGGTTTCTATGGTTTTCGTGGCAGTTGGCAGAACTTAAAAACCTACTTAAGCGGTTGCTAGGCTGTTAAAGAGCCCATATTATGAGTTTTGGGTTTTTCCCCCCTTTTCTTTAGTGTGTTGTATAACGTGGTTTCTGTGCATGGACAAGGCCTGCAGGCTTACGAGAGGCCCCTTACCTGCCTGAAACACCTCGTACAGCTGTTTCTGCAACTGCTTATCTAGGTCATGGTGGAGAACATTTGCTTGTCTAGCAACTAGTCAACAAAAGAACGGGCAGTGTCGTTGCGAACTCTCGTTATTCCTCGCTGGAAGTGCGTCTGGTCGAGGTACATCTCTCTGTTTATAGTCCGATTGGGGTTACGGTACATCACCAAAGCTACCTCACTTTTTGTCAAACCAGCTGAAAAGTCAGAACAGAATGAGCTTTGCAAGAGGGGGGTCTTAAATTAGAAGCTGCAGTATGACAACATGCATGATCATCAAAGCATATAAACACACTCTAGTAGACAAACTTTAATTTCTAAATCTGTGCATGTGAATAACATGGGCTCTTTAAAAGATGTGGCTATGGTGTGACAACCCAATTACTCACTTCAGCTCATTTCAAAAAAGTCTGCATTATGTGCGGCGCAAAGGATCCTGCTGTTATCCCCCGACTATACGTGCTGCAGCCAAACACAAGCTGCCTGTCAGGGTTTTCACTGGATGCTTGTTGTGCACTCAGAAGTGTTTTTAGGGGAGCTAAAACGCTGCTAAACAATCATGCACTTAGAAGCACAAGAGGAACTGAAAAAGCACTTTTGGTTGCATTAATCTGTGTTAATGAAGTGTTGGCCATTATGAGGCCGTGTAGATAGACCAGAATGGACAAACGTCTGACAGGAAAAATGCCTCAGCTTCAACCGCTACAGCGACAAATGGAGAAGAATGAATTACAGGACGCCGGGATGGTGGCGTAGTTTGGAGGTTTGGGATAGGTTCTCACTGTTTTCTGCCAGGAGACTGCAACTAAATCCTAAACACTTCCCTTTTTTAAATCAGCCATCTTAAGCCCCCAAAGAGAAAGCTCTGAACGAACGCTGGTTGTTATCTGGAATGTGCTGAAACCAATAACAAGCGCCGATAACACAGGTAGGAGTTGTTCCAGCTATCGTTGAGGATAATCTCACTTTATACCCACAATGCGTCGACTGTCAGATAAACGCTCTCTGACGAAGCGTGCTGAGTTATTTCTCAGCAAGTCCACTGTGAATATGTGTGGTTTGAGTGGGAGGAAAACATGAACAGCTGCAATAAATCATCATTACAAACAGTTTAAATCAATAACATATTACACACACACACTATGTCAGCAATGTTATATCATCACAGTCAGAAGAATGAGGATGAGGAATCACGTGGTCTAAAGGTGCTGCTAGTAATCGTGAAGGCTGCTGAAACACAAGAAGTGACGATGACATTAGTGATCAGAGTGAGGTGACTTACAGACAGGATGGTGATTAGAATGCCAGCGGCGCTAAGCACACCGTCGCTAATGGTGTCTCCGTTTTTGGCCGGGTACTTGATGGACTCATCGTCGCAGTAAAACCCTCTACGGTAAGGCTGAACAGCGCTGGTCTCAATGACCAAGAAAGGCAGGCCGGCTAGTGTGAAGAAGCAGTGAGCGGAGGAGGAGGAGGAGGAGGAAGGGGGGTGGGGATGGGGTGAAGGAGAGAGATGGAGGTGCTGGGTTAATGATACGCAAATTACAGGAGGTCGTCGGTAAAAGCAAGAGGCGACCAGGGAACATGTGGGACTGGCTCAGCTCATTCTGTGGCTGTTATCTGTGACTAATGACTCCAGCTTTGTTTATTATTCACTATTAGAGGGTCTTTCTAAAAAAGATCTGGTGGGCTTTTTTCCATCTTTTAGTCTGCTAGCTGCAAATGCTTTACCTACTTTACTACCAGCTTGGAGATCCCTATCACTCCAGCAACTTAAATGTAAGTTACATCAACAATGACAAATAGCAAGAGCTTAAAATGGTCTATTTATACCCCAAAACCCAGGTCAAAGTGATAATCATCAGCAAATTGTTTTGACAGTAGCATGAAAACTCCATGTGCTGACCAGAAGAAATCCAGAAATGGCTCAAAGCTGCATTATTTATACTAGAAAACAACTAATAGCTGCAAATGTTTTTAACTATTTTGAGAGTGGCAGCTTTTTGTTTGATGAATTAGCATTTTCCAAAACTGAAACCAAAGGGTTGCCTGAAGGGTAGCAGCTAAATGTGAAAGTTAATGTGGAAACTCTGCTGGCAGTAAAGAGCAGCGTACATGATTTACAGTCGATGAGACCGAACCACAGAGCGCGAGTCAGAGCCTGCTGAAGCCATCACATCTTTCTGAGGTGTCACGAGCCGACCGCTGACGAACTGAGAGCGTCCCGACACGTGCTCCCCGGTCACCTCTTGCTTCACCCGCACCAGGACTTACTGAGACCACGGGCACGGCGGCGCCCACGGCCGTGAGCACGGGCGTGGACACCGTGCTGTTCTTATAGGGCAGCCGGATGCCGTCGTCGCTGCAGAAGAATCCTCTCTCGTAAGGCGGGAAGGGAGGTTTGTGCAAAAACACGGCGACAAGCACCACTGCATGGTTGGACAAATACATGAGTTGGGGTAAGGCAACAATGGACAGCTTGCATCGAAAAAAAAAAAAAAGAGGAAAAAACACATTTAAAACTCTCAGCGGATGCATTTACTGTGTTAATCACATCCTGTTTGGAAAAACCCGACACAGATGCTGCCGACAATAACGAGCCAAAATAAACTCAATGAAATCAGTCGGAATAAACGCCAAAAAATCAAAGCGGCGACACTTAAGCGAGCCTTTTATGCTGGGAATAGCATCAACTGATCTCAAGTCGCCATTAAAAGGGTAAGATGTGTCGTGTTCTTAAGAGACACCGTTGCTGCTGCTAAATGACAAGAAAAACACACACACACTCCATATCGGTCCTCCTTTCCTGCTGAGGCTTTCAAGTGCACTTAAAAAGGCCCACTTTAAGATGCCTGTGGGGTGTTTGCGTCTGATCGATTTAGTGTCTTTCAGCACTTAAAGTGGCAAAAAGATCTTATTTCTCTGCCGACAACAAACACAAGAGTGGGTGTAACTAAGACGCAAGCCAAAAAGGACAGCTTATTTTCCTCCATTTATACTAAAAGGCTTCAGTGGAGGACTTTGATATCTGAGGGTGGACGCGGTACCCGGGAGAGGCGTCAAATCTCTGACAGAATTTGGAAAACACACTTTCAGAATCACTTCAAAGCGACATTTAGCTTTCAAGTCGCTCTTTGAATAATTCTGCAATCTGCCGACACAAAGAAAAACAAGCGAGATGGCGTTGGGGGTGTGATTCCTCCAACCAAATGTCAACACATGCTTCGGTTGCCGCTGAGCCCCTCGACCCCCTTTTTCACATCCAACACACACACCTGACTTGGTGTCTTTGAAGGTCCAGCTGGGTTGAGCTCAGGTTACACACCGGGCTCTGGGAACTCCACAGCTCCAGCCTTCCCTTCACATTCAGCAGGATTCACGTTATTAACTTTCTCGCTTTCATTCTGGCTCTTCAAACAAATACCTGGACGGAGCTGCGCTGGGCTCAGAGGCGAGTCCGGTGAAAAACAGAAAGAGCTGGGCGGGACGTCTTAACAGTTCTGCAACTGTAAAAATACACGGCACGTTAAATCCTGAACGTCTGATCCCTTCGGTTTGGTTGGTCTGGCCATGAACAGAACAACACAGGCCTTCCCAAAACAGGGGCTTAGGCTGTCCAAACTGCTGATAGAAAGCAGTTGGGAGGGGGAATGAAAAAAGCAGCACACAGACGGAGCTGAATGTGCGAGATGTGAAACACATTGACCCCAAGGCCCTGACCTCTGCAACTGTCTCTAAATATATTCACGGACAAACCCGCAAGGCCAGAGGCAGAGACTGATAGAGAGAGACAGCGAGGTGGGGAACGGATTAATGGAATAAAGTGCTTTAAAGGAACCTGCGCCGGGGTCAAGTGCTTCAAACAGCTGATTGGAAAAAAAAAAGAAAAAAAGAAAAAAAGCACGACCACAACCAGACAGTCGGGTCCTGTTTTCCAGACGTTCAGCCGGGTTTTTCTTCCCCGCTCAGTCCTCCGACCCCCTCGCATCCGTCTAAACAGTGCAGCATCAGCAGTGAATACGGCATCTTGGGATTTTCCCCTCCTACCCTCTTCCTCGCTTCCCGCATCTAACGGCCTGAGGGGGTGAGGAGAGGGGGAGGGCGTCCTCGTCCTGCCAACAACAACACCACCACCACCAGTCAGCAGGCGTGAGCGTGTCTTTTACATTATCTGGAGATCAACTGTTTTGAGATCGATTGTTTCGCGGCTCCTGACGTCTCCATCAGGTGTCTTTCCCCCGAAGCGGTCCCGCTTTCAGCAATCAGCTGAGGGGTGCTAAACAAGCAAACACTGTAACTGAAGAACGATGATGACATTTTCAGAACAAAACTGACCGCCGTCCAGTGTCAAAACATGGTAAAAAACTTATTATTAAGATCTGGCAGTTCCATGTGGCTGCAGTTTATGGAAACTAGAATCAACGTATAAGCTTCACGCTGAATTAAATCCCCCCACCATATTCTTGGAGGCATTCGCCAAAACACCAAGTGTGACTATTAAAACAAACAGACACACATTTTCCACTTGCAGGGATCTCTCACTGTCTGGCGTAGAAATATAAGTGTGTATGTGCAGCTCTGAGGTAGTTGTGGCGTACACACAGATGCAGTTGTTTTCACTCGCAACACAACCTGCTCCCTGTCTGTCAGTCTGGCCTGCTGCAGAACTCACTTCATAATTCACAGTGTGAGGGGAAAGCAGGTCTTGGGTTAGATAAAAATCACATTTGCATTGAATAGCTAGCGGCTACACCAGCAGACGGGGTATCTGTCCGCGCCTCTGCCTACGAATGATAAGAAAAGAATTGCATATAAATCCCATTTTATGTTTGATTAGACGTCCCAGCGTTGTTTTAAATCGGTTTTCTTGGAACTCGTAAGTGCCGTGTTACCGGAAAGCACTTGTTCAGACAGAAACCAAACTTGTGTTTATTGTTTTTAAAGGATCAGCTCAAGCCAAAAAAAATTTCAAAAATCCTAGTTTCACTTTCAAGATTACTGGCTGAGGTTTGGAGATATTTGCCTCCTACGTGTCTGCTGTTAGCATTGCCACTAAAACCAAAACTAAAATCCTGTTTTCCCTTTCTTTTCCTTGTAAGCCTTTAAAAAAACGACCTCTTTACCATTGTTGTCCTAATTTCATGGATTGACATGGCATGCGGTCAGAAAATTACAAGCCAAAGAGGCAAGCGTGGCCTATTAACCTCTAACGTCATTATACGATTAAGTGGAAAACATGAAAGCCACCTGCTACAGATTAATGTAAACTGAACCTGATCACCTCACCAGAGGGTGGGGGGGCTTTTTTCTGTAAACATTCAGCTCCAGTCAGCACTGAATCAGGGTGACATGCTCTCTTTCCAGTAAACTCACTGCTGTTATCTTTACTGGCACTGATGGTCTGCAGGGAGCCCAGTGACTGGAAGCAGGAGGGAGATATCCCTGGATGCAGTTTCACTAGAACTGCAATCAGCATGTGAGAATGGAGGAAAAAGTGGTGATTACCAGGACCGGCGCACCATTTCCTCCTTGTGGTTGCCGCTTTTTACCACATCTTTAGCCAGAAAAAAACACTGCCGGTTTGTTGACAAGCTTCTCTGTGGGAAGGTATGTACATACATAACAAATCACGGGGATTTACCCTCCACAGAGACCAAAAAGAAATCCAAATATAGCTTGTGAGAAAAAAGATTGTGTAAGCCGTAGATCTTTTGTGGAATCGTTAACAATAGGAGGAGTGCTGCTGTTTTTTTTTCCATGCAGTTGCAAGAGTTTTATTTTATAGGAGGCACGCTGCTGTGCTGTTTACAATCAGGACTTTCCACACAACACACTGGAAACATGTGGTTGTCAGAGAAGACATAAACATCAGTGATTGTTGATCTCTGCGGACTGGGAAAAGTTTTGCAGGACGTTTGGGTTCAAACACCAACAATAACATGAACTCAGTGAATATCTCAGGACCTGAACTGATGAACACTTACTCCATGCTGACCTTTTCACCACTTCCCTTAATTACACCACACACACACATATAAGTATATTTTGCCAGATGTTCACATCTGAAGAATTCCTGCAGCTGTGGAATGTGAGCCTTTCTGGAAAATATAATGAGCAGTCAAAGCAGAGATGCATACAGGTGTGGGGTGTAGACCAAAGAAATACATCCCCTCCTGGAGCACTTTATTAATTAGTTTCCCTTTTGCCAGCACATTTTTTGGGGTTTCTGCTCGCTAAGCGAACATCATTTATGTAGCTTGGTAGCTACATGTGGAGCTAGCTTGTTGCTTGTGAAGCTGGTGAAGCTTGAATTTTGCCGTTCAAATATAATAACCAGCTCGTTAACAATGTAATTTGACTCAATTTAATTAATTAAATGTA